CGTCAGTACGGCGTGACGTCCGGAGGATGGCAGGTCGGTGCCGGCAAGAGCCCAGGGCGGGGTCATTCGGTTCATCGGATAAAAGTGATGCGGGATGCGGTCGCCGACACAGCATGAACCTTCCCGGTCCCGAAGATGAATTCCAGGCTCTTGTTAGGTTCCCGGAGGCCTTTTATTCCCCGACCAGCGCAGGTGTTAAGACCTGTATGTGGCTTGGTTCGGAAGCCGATGGGGCTGGGTGCCATCCAAGAGGCTTTCTCCCGGGTAAAAATGCTGGTGAAACAGGTACAGGCCCCGGGGGTGTGAATGGTGAATTCCGTGTCAGTTCCTGCCCAGGAGGACGGGGCTGGGGCTTGTGGCAACAGAAGGAAATCGGTTCGTTATTCGCACAAGTTTGAGGACAATCTGTTCTTGTGACGTGACGTCATGGGAAACACCGGCTGTTACCACCAAGGCTTTGACTGGAAAGTGTAGTTGAGACCGAGGCGCCCACACGGCTTTAGGGAGCGAGGGTTGACTTTACAGACCCAACAGAGCCCTTGGAAGACACTGGCCTGGTACCTTGCTTCTGGGGTTCCCGGGAGCCTGACCAGGTGAATGAGGGAGGTCGTTGCCCGACAGGCTCAGGAACCTCGGCAGGTCTCGGGGAACTCAGGAAGGGAGGGAACTAACTCCAAGCTGCAGACGGCGTTGCAGGCGAGTCTGCTGGCGGGTGAGCATCTGGTGGGGCTCTTGGCCTTGAACGGCTGTTAAAGGCTCCATCTGAAATTCCTTAGGAGAAGCGTGCCCGGGGGCGGGGGGCTCGGGCGGTTAAGCGGAGGACTTTGGCTCGGGTCATGATCTCAGGGTGAGTTTGAGCCCCGCGCCAGGCTCTCTGCTGTCAGCACAGGGTCCGCTGCAGATCCTCTGTCTCTCCCTGCACCTCCCCTTTTCACTCGCCCCCCAAAATGAAGCCATTACAGAAACTTTTAACTGAAGTTCTTTAGGAGGAGCCCCAGCAGAGTTAAGGGAGCCTAGACCACCCGTCGCTGTTCTTGCCGCACTTATGTGAAGATTAGGCCGAGTTTGGGAGGACTGGACTGTTCGACCTGTGCTAGAAAGGAGGGTGAACT